TTTAGCCATGTAACCTGTAATGGATAAAGTTTATCTAAAAATCTCACTTAAACACTAAAGGTTAATGCCAGTTTTTACATATACAGTGCAATTCAGGTTGTCTTGAAAAGCACTTTTGATGGTGTGGTGGTTGAATAAGGAATTTTGCAGTAGATGAAATTGTTTTGATTAGAATTTGGAAAGAAGCCCCATAGTACATATTTTTATGTAGCTCAGAGCTATGGAAACCCTGAGGAACTTGCTGCTTTTTCTTCCAAATGCTGCTTAGATGGTGTTGAAATGTGCACAACTCCTACGTAAACTTGGTGATGACACCAAAGTATAGAAATAATGAAGTACTGTATTAACTTAGCAATTTTCCCATCACAGATTCCACTGAGGCTCATTATGAGATCTCTTCACCTTTTTTTGGCCATTAGATCTCCTCTGATTGGTGCATGCGCAAACTTTCAGGTAAAAGAATGCATGCTTATCTGCCGTGTACGTATGATTTACCTGAACTAAATAGGCAAACTGCAGACACTAAAGAGGTTCTTCACAAGTGTGTGATCCTGTTTCAAGTTTGCTTTCTAAATTGGTATTTTTTTGGTCCTTTTTCTTACCTTGTGAAGTCCTTTTATATCTTGTCTAGCTGAGGACTTGAAGCTTTTCTGTGGGGGAACTGAATGCTGAGTAAGCTGGGATGCGATGTTCCATGATCTGAGCTGGTCTGCACCACATGGTCGGTGGCACCATTCATCGTCTGTCGTGGCGTAACCCCGTACGCTTTTGGGGGTCCTTCTAGTTCAGGACTAAGTATGCCAGCATTAGACATTCTCGGTCAGTGACCGATCGCTGTGAACTCGGATCCTAGCTTACCCAGGACTAGCTTACCTGTGCAGACTACCATTTGAATGGACAAAAGGATAAGCTCCTACCTTCAGTAGGCTACTTCGAGGGCTGTGCAGAATTTTAACTGGTGCCCCCCCCCGCCTTGCTTTCTGCAGTACTGTTCCGTTTAAGGAAGTAAAGCTTCCTTGTAACATGGGGAGAATAACCAATGTGAAAGTCTACCTTGAGCCAAATTCGCCGAGCACACCTTCCCTTATCTCCCGTTGCTGTACGTGGGCAGCCTGCGTTGTGGCCTGACAGTCCCCGTCCCCAACCAAGGCTTCACCAGGGCAAGTGGAAGTTCACCACGCAGCCAGTTCAGCCGATTTTCAGAAGCGTGCACCGCGCGCTCGGGCATTGATCGAGCTCTGGTATGAGAGGACAGTCCTGGTGCTTCAGAGCTCTTGCTTGCTTCATCATCATTGTTCTGTTCTGATGTGCTGTAAAATGGTATGTTCAGGTTAAGACGCTTCCCAGGTCCCTTTGGAACTGGTGAAGTATCTTTTTCAGAATCAAAGTAATCCAAACCTCATGTACCTGTAGATTAAAGAGATGCAAACCCCTGCTTTGTGCTAGCACGGTAGTCAGTGTATGTTAATGGGTACTCTTCTTGAATGACATCCTTGAAAAGTTTACAAATACTGACATTGATTTGCAAATGCTACCTTGCAGCTTGTTGGCAAGTTCTGCTCTTTTAGCCAAGTATATATGTCTATATCTGTTTATAGATATAGAGATATATATAGAATTGGGTTTCTCAATGTTATTTTCCTCGTATTATTGCGCGCAGCAGCACACGCTTTCCTAGCACAGAACTTTGCTTTTCATTGCTACCTCCTTTACATCTGGTCATTTTTTTCTGGTTTTATTTATGAATTCCTTCGTTGAAAATCCCTGTATTTCTTTTAATATATTAAAATTTAGTAATTCTGGATTCTTCCAAAGTTCTGCTGCATGGCTTATGGCAAATATTCCTAGATTGTGTTTACTGCGTTAACAAAATGGGTTTGTGTGCATTTAGAGACCCTTATTTAATTGCCGCTTTTCCTTTTTTCCCCTTTTGTTCAGTAACTGCCCTTAACCCCTTTTTTTTTTTTAGGTTTTATTTATTTGTTGTCACCTTCAAGCTGCTTGTCTTGAGCCACTCTGACATCCGTCATCAGCGGATGAGAGCCTCACTGCCTGCCTGCCCTGAGCGTGACAACAGCAGTACTGTCAGCAAAGCAGCGGCACAAATATTCAGCAGCAACTCTTTACCTCCCGTTCCTTTGCCCAATAATTTTCCGTTTGAGAGTTGCAGCGTGCCGCTTCCCGGTGCTTCCGCGTATCTTAATTGCGGTGAAACTCTTCCCTTTCCGCTTCCATGGATCTCCTCTTTGTGCGTTTCGCTGGTGTCTGCGCTGCAGGCGCTCCGAAACCCGGCAGCGGAGGGGAACTTCTGAGACTGCAGCCTGTTACCAAAATGTGTCCTTTAGTTTCTAACCCTTGCGATCCCCTAATTTCTGCTCCTGTTGAGCTTGTAGCGCTTCAGTAGAAGCCATGTGCCTACGTTTGCATCCGTCCTTGGTTTTGGTCGAGAGGGAGGTTGGGTGTTGGATGAAAAATAGAGCGTTTGCCGTTCTCCGTGGGGTCTGAGCTGAGCTAAGCCTCTCGCTGTCCTGGCGCAGAGTCTGCCACTAGCAGCGGATCCATGAGGAACCACCAGCCCAGGAGATCCTGCTTCGCAGGGAAGTACTTGCACCCATCTGGGATGTGACTGCTTATTTCAAAACAAGTGAAAGAACCAGAGCTAATCTGTTTTTTAAAATGACTCTAAACCTGAACAGCAATTAAGCGTTTTCCTCTTGATTTTTGCTGTCATTTCAGTGTTTCCAAAATACCTGCTCTGTAACTAACCTGGTTTCTCCTCCTGGTCACGGATATTCACTGCTGTGCTATGTTGGTCACTGACAAAGGGTTGTCGCTCTCCTATAAAAGGTGACCTCTTTTTTTAACGTGTTTGAAGCTGGTTTCCAGTTTAATTTAAAGCAAACAAAATACAGTTTTGTAACCTAGACAATTTTGGGTTTCGGCTTTTTTTAGTCTCTTTCCAGACCAAGCTCTTTTCCCCTCTCAGGCCGTGCGTGCTGGCACTCCTTGACACGATGCGAAAGACGGGGTGGAAATGAAAGAACGGGCCTCTTGCCCAGTGAGGCTGGAAGCCGCTAGCCCCTCTCAAGCGTGCTTTCAGCTTTGTTCCCAAGTGGTTGTTAATGCTTCATTTCTTGAGTATCTACAAAAAAACGTTGTTTGAGGTGTAGCTGCCTTCATAGCTTAATGGAAACCATCGTGACCTTTTTCCACCTAGGCTGTGTATGATGTCCCACTTGATTTTGCATATTCATAAACCTCCAAACAAGTTTGCAGATTATGGGTAGCACCACCTGAAAAGTCTGGATAGGAAACTAAATTCAGCAAGCGTTTCCCCAGCAGCACGATTTTAAAGCTGACTTGCACGCAGCGAGCTTGAACTGAGCTTCTGCTGTGTTTCTCAAAGCCTGTTGCAGGAAGCCAAGGACAGACCCTCGGCCGACGCCGGTCACGGCTCGCTCTAAGCCTCATCCTCCTGCTGACCGCGACACCAGCAGGTCCCAGCTGCTGCTTGAGTGCCAGAGGTACCGACGTCAGACTCGAGGAACACTTACCTGCTCTCCGCCGTGAAAGCACGTTCGGTGCCGGAGGAGGGCACGGGGTGATCCGAGTCATGCTTCTGTACCTTACGGTGCATGCTCAGTGTCTTCAGCTTAGAGCATTAGTCAGACTGCAGCGAGAGCTCTGACCTTTCAGAAATTACAGAAATTTTATCACTTTTTATTGAAAACTGCACTGAACGCTAAATGTCCACCTTTACAATAAACAAATACAGTAACGGTAACACACTAAAACAAAACATACTTCTGATAGCCATTGGTTTTTTTTTTCTTTCTGTTTGGGACAGTTTAAGATAATTTTTTTTTGTCACAGAAACAGGAATGTACCCATACAAAGGCTCAAAATAGGCCATCTTTTTAAAACAAAAAGGCGATGATTCACAAAAGACTATGAATATAACATGTAACTAGTTGATACAAATCTAATAGGATTTGTTAAAATCAGTCACATCTAATAACACATTTTGAAGTGTTCTTGTATAAAATATCACGTGAAGAAAAGAAGACTTTTATCAATGTCTAAAAAAGTGGGTTTTGTTCATAGACAGTCTGACAAGTTACCATAAAAAGTGTTTCCTGAGACATAAGGAAATGCAACATTATTCTTGAACCCTTTCCAGCTCAAGACTTTTTCCACTTGATAAAATAGCTGCAGATTTAAAACTGAGAAAATATATTTGAGTACAAATAGTGTGTGAAACTTAATACTTTCTTCTTTTTTTTCTTTTTTTTTTTTTTTTTCTTTTCTTGCATCATTGCAGGGCGTAGGTGAATGCACAGCTACTTTATTCAGTGTATCGGGCAGAGGAGAGACTGGCAGTTCGTTTTTTCATTAGCCTGGGAGGGCAGCAGCCATTGCCAGGAGCCCTTTCTGCCCTCCCAATCCCACGGATCCCGGCTGGAACGGCTAATACTTAAACCTGGCTGGAGAACTTCTGTTACACGTCACTGGCCCTGTGAGACTGCAGAAAGGATTATTGTTGTTAATTACTATTTTTTCTTCCACTTCCAAGCCAGTACTGATGCCTCCCGTTGGAAGAGGTAACCAGATACAAGAGTAAGGAAAGGGCTGAAGCCACATAATGGTTTCCTCTAACATTTCTATGTTAACTCTGTAAAGATTGCTTAATGCCATGGTTTGAAAACAGGTGCAGAAGCCCTGTCCTTCCCAAGGAATTGAGGGGGAAAAAAAATATCTATTTTTATTCATGTGATTGATGCACAGATGAAGGAAACTTAACACACAATAACAGAAGTTGATCATTAATGTATCACGTCCTAGTTTTCAGCGTTTCAGTAAGCAGGTGACTTCTTCAGGGCTTCTCCCCAGTCTTGACTGCTATCACTTTGTTGTTAACAGTGGAACATCAATGATGCGTCTGTCCAAAATCAACATTACAAATTTCGTATCAAATTCTTTTTTAGTTCATGTATAACTTCTTTTCCAATGTCTCTTGGTCCCAAGTTTATTGAATGATTTTTAAATTATCTGCTATTGCTCGTTGGGATGTTCCCTGTTGTCCCCGTGTTTTGTGGGCTGGTTAGGAGATGGAGCTTGGGAAGGATGTGCCACTGTGGGAAGATTGTGAGTGACGGGGATGCCTCCGGGAATGATGCCCTCCATAGCTGCTGGTATTCCTCCCGGGGCGACACTGACCATCCCAGGTGGATACCTGGGAGAGGGGACAGAGAGAGGCAGATTTGTCACGTCAGAGCTCACCACAGACCGCGCCAGTCACCCAACCACCAGTGCAGAGGCTGCGGAGAAAATGAGCGGCAAAGAGATTCCCCTTCTCTGCTAGAGCCGAGTTCCTTTTTTCTGTGAAATTACAAGGGGTAGCTCAATGTTAAACGTTAAACCAATGCTGCTGTGTCTTGGGTAAGTGTCCTCCACTACGATACCAGGACTGCGTCTTGTTCTGTACCTTTGAACAGGTGGGTGAACCATAAGGAAACCTTTCTCTCTTGAAAAATTGGCTAAGGCCTTGAATGCTCTCCGAAATGCCAAACGCTAGCAGGCTGACTTAGTCACCCCTGCATGTGAATGCCTTTGAACACCTACACCTGGTTTGTAAGTTTTTCCCTCTATGGAAGGTGAGCTGATTCTTCCTCATGTAACTAGAGAACACAGCTGAAAAATGGGGTTGGATCTAGTCAGTCTTCCTTTCTAAGAGCAGAGTGAGGTATACGTATTCCAAGAAGCTACACCAAGTTTGAGAAAGGAGAAGAAATGAGAATTTCTTCAGCTGTCCACAGGGAAGACGTGATGTCAAAACCCTCTGGAGGTTTGTTGGACATGTGGGGACTGAGGGCTCCAACCTCAAGCACCTCCCTGCTGCTGCCCTCGCCTTCGAGGGGGAAGCCGGGAGGGGAAGGGCGGTGAGCTGACCCCAGCTGCCAGCTTACGGGCGCACCAGGGCCGTGGCTCCCGAGGAACTTGGCAAGGATGAAGCACCCTGCAGAGGTGGAGGTTAAGCCTGGAAGCCAAGGCCTGTCCCCACAGCAAGGGCATTGCTCACGTGCTTCACAGCAGGCAGGCGCAGGACCAAGGGGGATGCTTTCAGCGGGTTTGGATGTTTCAGTCTACGCATTTTGCCTGTCAAAGTGACCAATGGCTGCCTGGGCTCTGCAGGCAGTTGTGAGTGTGCAGGGCCATGGCACACACGTTGCTCGGGGCGCTGCGCTTTCGAGGGCTCTGCTGCCAGATGCACTTCTGCCTGCCTCTCCCCTGTCACATGGCCTGACGTGCCCTGTGGGTGGGGTTTTTTTGGTATCTCAGAGTATTTTTGGCAACATTTTGGTGATGTGCTGAAGGCTGCCCATGCTCCATCTGAGTCCTAATGCCTAATGTCTCCTATCACCATGCTTTGACCCATCCAAAGTGGAGCAATAAGTAACCCTGATCTCAGGGATTTAGGTGGAAATTAGGCCCCCTGACTATGGACCTATATTTGGAGTTTTTACCCTGGCTCATTAACCCACAGGCTGGGCAGAAGTGCAGAGCAAATCTGCAAGTTGTGTCCTGCTTGTTTACAGGTCTGGGGGTCCTGGCACCTATGGAGATGCCGTACAAGTGACTGCTGCCCCACCAGAACGAAGGCTTTATAAATGGGAGGCTTTACAAACACGTGGTTTAAATCAAGCAGCATTAGTAATCCCAGCAACATGCCTACTGGTCCTGCTGGAGGGGGATTTCACAGCCACCGGCTGAGCCAACGTGGAAGTTGTCGCTTGGGCTTTCGTGCTCACTTCATAGCGGGGATCCCAGACCGCACCGGTCCGCTCCTCCGGCTTACCTGTACGTGGCACCATTGAGCTCTGGATGAATTGCTTGCTGATCTATTACCGACCATGGAGCTGTTGTGACAAAGAATTCTTTATTCACGCAGTTTCTTAGGCTTTCTGGGATGCGCCCTGGAGTTGGTAATAAAGGTAAGTACGTGTGAGGCCAGTCCGAGCTTTATCACTCTCTAGTAACAAACTACCATTTTTCCATTTCACTATCTTTGTTAGTATAAAGCCTGGGGAGGAGGCACAGAAATCCCATATCCCTTGTTTCAGGAGGATGTTTTGGCTGTCCCAAGGCGCAGGGTTGGAGACCAGTTTCCTGACCCTGACTCCCAGCTTTCTGCTTTCAGGAAAGCTGCTCCCTTGAGCCCACGGCTTTCAAAGCAGCAGCTAGCCAAACACGAAGCTATGCCTTCCAGGTTAACAAGGGAAGCAATTCTTAGGACAAGAGAACCACTCATTTGCTGGAGTATCATGCCCACCATCTTGGAGCAAGCTCAGTTACAGCACCAGTTGGACACAGGTGCCTTCACTGCTTTGGGATTTGGTTCTGGCATGCTGTTGGCTACAGTCTGCACCATCTTTTGGGTTTAGCACCATTAACAGGAGCAGCAATGATTGCTTCAGTGTCCTTTTCTTCCCAGTCACAGACACATGTCTTTGCCATGCTACACAAGTGCCCCACTGATTTGAAAAAAACCCCAAACATCAAAATCCACAAAAACCCCTCACCCAACCACAAATGCCAGAAATGAAAAGTTTTGTTTCTCAGCTCTTCTGCTGGGAATAGAAAATCAGGGTTAGACCCCTTTCCCAGTCTCCTACTGAGACATGGGTAGGGTGAAGCCCCATCTCTGCCCCTCCTGGTTCACATTCCAGGCGCACACATGAGCTAACCGCAGTTTTTCTGTGGGGCTGGGTACCTGTAATCGCACGCCGTATTTCAGTAGCAGCAGCTTCTCTCATCTCTAGTGATGCCTGCTCGCTGTACCAAGCAGTATGTGGCGTACAGATTAAATTAGGAGCATCTTTCAATGGACCTTGAGCAAAACTGGGAGCACGGAGAAAAAAAAAAGAAAGATTAATCAGTGTTTGAAAAGAGAATAAAATACCTTACGAACGGTAAAATGCTTGTGGCCTGCCCTCTGCATATGCAGGCCTCTGTCCCCAGCGCCTCGCCTGCGGCACCTGGTCTGGAAGGAGCCCAACAGCATCCTGCCAGCCTGAAATGGCCACGGAAACACTGAGGTGGACACACGGCTCCAGTACAGGGCGCAAACTGAAAATGCACCAAAAAATGAACCCAGCGGGCTGAAAAACCAACCTACCGAGTGGTTGTTCATAATGTTGCCACAGGAATAAATGCCTGGGGTTGTCTCTGTAGCACTTTTGGGTTGTTTTTTTTAATTAAAACACAGGCTGATTTCTTGTTCTAAGCTCCCAGTGTTCCTTCAAACACCTGTAACCCCGGTGCCAGCCCACACTTGAGGGATGCTGCAAGGTGCTGCAGCATTTTCTCAAACCAGGACTGTCCCCCAGCGCTGGCGCTGCATGAGAAGGCACATGGTTGTTGTGTATCCCCTGGACATGCCACTGCAGATGGCAACCCAAGAAAAAGCCAGAGCTTTACCTAAATGGTTCAGACTCGTGCACGTCAAGCGCAGCCCCTCGTATCCGTCCCTCCTTCAGGGCTTGAGTTAAGGCCTTCTCGTCCACCAGACCCCCGCGTGCCGTGTTGACCAGGAACGCTCCTTGCCTCATCTAGTGGCAGCCGGGGAGAGAGATGAGAGTGAGCTCGGTGCAGTGACCTGGTCCTACCCCTGCCCCGACGCAGCAGCGGGTTCCTCGGGCTGCCTCTGGCTGGGACTGCACTCCGGCTGTGCTCCCACCCCAGAGCAATCCCCATCCCACTGCATGCGGGTTTTCTACGGAAATCCCAGCTCTAGCTGGTATCAGCAAACAAAACCTGTTCCCGCTGTTGCCTCCGCACCGCAGGCACAAAGGGTTTGCTTACCTGGTAGCATGCTATCTCCCGGTAAATACTGTGGGGAGACAGATGGGCTGTTGGGTGCAACCAGCTATTTTGGAGGTAGCCCACAGGCACTATGGCACTGGCTTGCTGTGGCCCAGACCACAGCAGGACCGTGGCCAGCACCGATGCTCAGGGTTTGCCCACTGAAGAGCAGAGTGCTCTCTTTAGTTGTGCACACGAGCTGAATTACCTGCTTAATCGTGAAGTCGTTGATAAGGTGGTGGTTATGTTCGTTAAGGTTACAGTGCAACGAGACACAGTCGCTCTGATAGAGCAGGTCCTGGAGCGTGTAGACCCGCTGGACTCCCAGGGACCTCTCTATCCCATCCTGCAGGTACGGGTCGTAAAATATCACATTGAAGCCGAACGCCTTGGCTCGGACCGCGACCGCCTGTGCAGTGCGACCTGTGCGCGAAGGAAAAAGAGGGGGTAGTTTAATTGGTCCCTGTTTCCCTGCCTCCACACAGCTGAGCTGCCCTGTGGCCTGACCCCATGCCTGGACTGCTGTGGGGGTCCCCTGGGACCTCCTGGACTCCCCAGGCAGCCCCTGAAGGGACACTGGCTGGAGGGCAAACCTGGGCCACCTTGCGCAAGGAGGGCTGTGCTTGGCTCTAACAAATGTGAGATGCTTGTGTTCAAATTTAAAAAACAAACAAACAAACAAAATGAAGAGTGAGGCCATGCAGGTCTGGTGGGCAAGGCCCAATGTGTGGCTCGGCCCCACTGATGTGCAACTCTGGACATCACAGACAAACAATCCTCTTTGACGCTGTGTCTACCAGGAAAAGCCAAAAAAGGAACGAAAAAAGGCGCTGCCTGTTTCAGACAGCTTGTTCGTGATAGGTTTTTCAGCCTCTTGCTGAACAGCTGGTTAACTGGGCATGACGAAGACAACTGTCGTGGCTTGCAAGCAAAGGACTACTACGGCCACTGTGCTGGGGAGGGATGTCTGCGGCGTTCCTGGAGACGCCCCTGCCTGTCCCCACCACGAGGGCTGCGCAGGCTCCGTTTATCTGTTAATTTTTCCTAGCTAGCTGCGGTGCGGCAGCCCAGCACGTGCCTGGTTAGTGGTGCACAGCAACGTCCCCCCATGCATGCACATACCTGATGCCATCCCGGTGTCCTAGAGATGCCCGATTGACTGGGGGACATCAGCTGGGTGCCTGTGTGGATGCCCAGCTGCAAGCACACAGCCAGGCACGTGCTGCCGCCCTCACCCTGGCCCTGCCAGATGGACCTGAGCTACCCCAGATCTCCTGTTCTAACCTCACTCACCTGCCTTGCCTCAGTTTCCCCATTTAAACATGTTCATATGCCAGCTTTTTGTGTTAATTAGCCCAGGGCTTTGCAGGACAACAGTGTGAAGCAAGTGGAAAAAATGGCTGCTGCACAGAAAATGAGTGGAAATACTGCTGGTTCCTTTGCTGGCAGCCATCCTCCACCTGCAAAGACCCCGTGATGCAGCCAGAACTGCTTCCTAAACCAACACCTCATGAAATTTCCTCTGCTCACATTTCTGCCACTTAGCTTGTGTCTGGCCACCAAGTGCTGGATGGGTTTCTGCTGCCCAGATGCATCTCTTGAACTATCTTATGATGGCTGGACTTCGCTCCCAAAAGGGATGGCCAAGAGGGCCATCAGCAGAGGTGCTGATGCTACCTCTGATGCTGAAACTCTCTATTGCTACAGGTGAACTGAAGACAAACTTTGTTGTACACACACTGGCCACCGCACAGAGCAGAATGGCT